ATGTCCTGGGCGGAAACATGATTGAAGAACTGGAGTTTTAGATCGAATAGCAGGTAGGTGTTGAAGCAACTAGTAACTGGTATCAGATTGTTGTCATAGTTTGAATCCTACCCCAAGGCTCCTCAGCCAAGTCGTGCTATCGGCTGTTGGCCTTGCCTGGTGTTGAATATTTATACGCAACAACACACGATGAATGTGTCAATAATTGCATTCAACACCCTTTCGTCCAGCCTGAAGGAAATCATCTCGTTCGTAGCAGCACAACAGCACTGAGTACGCAGCATACATTCTGCTCCAACCCTTGACAAAAAAGAACGAGTGTGGATCGGCCATGTTGTTATGCGTCTCCACCTCACCTCCATCCATGTCTGACAAGCACAAGCGATGGGCAGGAACCATTCCGAACTGAGGAAACTGCTCAGCAACAGCAAGTTTCTCTACACCTCCTTCGTTCGGATCAGTTGTGAACCTCACGACTTCCAGTTTGTGAACAAGAACGTGAATATATAAGTGCTCCACACACAAAAAAAACAGTTCCAGCAGGGAAAACAACTATTCCAAGCCCCTGACCCATTTAGAATGATGAGCTCACACAGGGAAAGATGAGCGTCCTCCAAGGTATCAAAAACATGTCAGTTCGATGTGTCGCAACGACAAGTTCAATTGATGGGGCTGTCCGGCTCAAGGATTCCTTTGAGCCCGCACGAGGCTGACCATGGCAAGTGCCATGGCCTGAGGAAGGTCCCTCCAGGCTTCTTGTACACTGAAGCATCAGCGTACTTCCTGCAAAACGCGCTTAAAAAACAAAAACAGCACAGCGAAACCCAAAGGACGTCAATGTATGTTGCCGCTAATATTGAGCCCCCTGCACACCAGGTTCTGGAGGGAACTGCTCATCGATCCACTTCAGGAATTTCACAGTGGCATCCTGCCAAATAAACCCAACACTTTCGTCATTGTGGGATCAGTGCATGGGAATGCATTGCAGCAATCTAGTTTTAAGATGTTCCCAGGAAAAAAGGTGTGTGAAGACATGAGAGACGTGTGTGTTTGTTAAATTGTTTCTTCTTCACTGGTTCCTTTGCTGTTGCGTCCTTCTTCCCAAGAACATCATCAATGTATCGATCGAAGGATCCATGAGAGTCGGTACGTTCCTTCCTGAGACAACTGTGCCACCCCATCCAACAATAACGAGACATTGACAAGAAATATCCGAAAGACCTAATTGCAAAGCGCTCAGAGCTGTGAACTGATTAAAGTAAGTCGGGGCACAACCACTGGCGGAACATTTCAACACACGGAGTGAAGTCACCAATGTCTGCCTGGTGAGGATCGACCTTGCACTTCAAACCACCACCATCGGACTCGTCCGCCTTGGACTTCTTCGCGCCACCACGAGCACTACCACCTGATATTTTCCGCTTAGCAGGCATTATGAAGCGGAACCATGAACCTGACGGCCCCGCTCACTGTTGGGCCAAGTGCATTTAAGGCGTCAACGATGGAAGTCAGCTACCTTCAACTGAGAAGCTCAGCCCACAAAACAATTTGTTCTGGTGTTGATGAAGCATTCTCACTGTTTGTTTCCCTGAACACTGAACAGCTTCAGTCTGTCACTATTTGAATTAGCTAGTGGCTCGGCTGTGAATTTGGCCCCCCAGCTCTCAGAAACTGACCATCAGTCAGCCACCTGGCATCAACATAGGATAGAAATGTCCAATGTCTATTCAAAAAGAGTTCTGCGCCAGATCCATCAACGTAAAAACCAACTGGTTTATTATGTGGGCAAATATCACCAACATGAACTGTGCCGGATCTCATCAAACAAGATGCCTTTACGCCAAATTTATATCAACATTAATCAACAAAAGCATGTGCCAGATTTCAAAGCAGCAAAAAAGAATGTGTGCAGGAAGAGAAATATGAAAAACTCACGCCGGATCTCATCAACATAATAAATAAGATGTGTGTGTGTGTGACGGGCGTCATCAACACCAGATCTCATCAACATAAGATGTGTTCGTACCAGATCTCATCAACATGAACCAACTTTTGTGCCGGATCAACATAAGATGTGTTAGTGCCGGATCTCATCAACATGAACCATATTTTGTGCCGGATACCATCAACTTAAGATGTGTTAGTGCCGGATGCCATCAACATGAACATCTTTTTGTGCCGGATGCCATCAACATAAGATGTGTTAGTGCCGGATGCCATCAACATGAACATCTTTTTGTGCCGGATCTCATCCACATAAGATGTGTTAGTGCCGGATCCCATCAACATGAACAACATTTTGTGCCGGATGCCATCCGCATCCGGCACAAAATTTGTACATTGCGCGCATGTGATGTGTGACCTTCTATCAAAAACATACCCCCCTAAATGTCCATGCCGCACCCCGTTTCCAGTGTATTTTTGCCATCGTCGTGAGATGAAAAGCTGCGTGAGGGAAACTCCCTCACAGCTATTGGACTATTATGCATAGCCCCCCCTTTGCGCTGGAAGTCAATGACATCCATCATAAAGCCCTGCCTGAACAAAGGTTGCCATAACCAACCACTGCGAATATATTTCCAAACTGGGAAACAGCTACTGTAAAGGATAGGTTTTGCGCTTGATGCCAACCACTTCCAACACAAATTAACCCCGTTCGGATAAGCGACTATTTGTGACAGAAATCCGTGTTTCAGTCCACGAATTTGTGAGCAGCACCAACAGGCCTTAGGCCTCGTAAGTTACAGCATCAAAGGCTTCTCCAACTATGGACAGCGCTGTGTCGAAGTCAACACCGTTCGCCCAAAGTTGGGCAACAGCTTTGTTTCTGTAAAAAGACTTCCTCTTCGCTCGGTAACGGTCCAACACGATCTTCTTCATTCTCTCTGCGCGCAGCTTCAACTGGTTGGGCGCCTTGGCAGATTTGAACAACATGTGAAAAAGGCACAGGTCTGGGTCATCAGTCACGTTTGGATCGCTTACTGATTCAAACTGCTGGGAACACCCAGTCTGGCAGAGTTGAGGGAACTGGGATGATATTGGGTTGAGCCACACTGCTTGCACCTGGATGCAAGCACAAGCCCAGCAATGGATGCGCGCAAACCCCGAACAAGAAATAAACCCACTTAATAAATAAGATGTAGCAGCGGCTTGAACAACAAAATTAATCGTTGGCAAGGCACAGCTTCCAGGTCCCGACCCTTGAAAGGTGCACCAGCTGTGCCAAGACCAACGCTTGGACCAGGAGCAGCAAAACATCTGTGCACTTCCAAGGGAGGAGCGCGCTCAACACTCTGGTCCGCCATGCTTTCTAAGTAGTCCGCAGCTGCATGCATCGAATATGGATCCTGTCCTGGTTCGCTGACAAAATCACTGAAGCTTGCTGAGGTCTATAGAGGACCATAAGCTATCAGTAGACTTGGACTACAACTCCAACAAGTCTAAGTTCAGTCCTGTGTTTGCATGGTGTTGGTATCTACGCGTCCTGTTTTCAGCTATTGTTTCGGAATCGGCTTGGGCATATTTTCATAGAATCTTCAACCATTGATGTTCAGGTATTATATAACTTTGGTCATATTTCTCACGAAGGGTTTAGCACAGCCCTTCCCAAAATCAAATTGAGCCCCTATTATTACCCTACAGTGATACCTTATTCCCATCATATTGCTTTGCCCCCCAAAGCGGAGCCCCAAAACAAATGTCAAATTAAGTAATAGGCACTCGCTGCAAGATTGATGGGACAAACCTGGGTCTTAAAAATGTTCTAAAGAACGCGCCAGGCACGAAGAAGCGCTGCGTGTTTCTTCCAGTTGTCTGCAGCGTTCTGGTCGAACGGCCGCTCGTCGCCAAGTACTGCAGGGACACGAAACAGTCATGAGTGTGTCTAAAATGTGTTTTCCAAGTGCCAAAGGAAAACTTTACAAGCCCTAGACAGTCCTTCTGGCACAAGGCCGGTGTTTGCAATCTCCCGTGCCACTGCATGAGGCAGGTACAGGATGGTCTTACTCTGCCAAGTTGGATCGCTCATCCACCGCTTAGTCCTTGGCATGAATTGCACTACAACAATAGCGCGACTGCGGTAAGCCTTTGGTTACTTATGCATTTGGACTATTACTCCTGGAGGTGAAGCCAAGACTCCGGAGAATCACGTCTGACCCGTGGGGTTGCAACTTGAAGCGATCCCAAAACCGAGTTTCGCAAGCTCTCCGATCAAAGCCTGCAAAGAATTGAATTTAATGATGGTATGTCAAAATTCCAGTTGGACTGCCCACGTATTATATCACACTTTGGCAAGCCTTAACATCTATAACTATCAGAAGTTATTAGACTATTGTATCTTCCTCAACTCTTGGAGCAACGCAGCAAATTTGTGAACGAAACCATACTAAGCGTCCACCACAAAGAACGATCAATGTGAAGCCTGAGATTGCAAAGTTTACACTTTGGCTTGGGCCATGAAATCTGACCCCCACAAGTCCTACACTAAACCCTTTAGTTCAGAGGGGCGAACAGGACTTGTGGGGGTCAGATTCCATGACCAAACCAAATGGAAATCTGGCAGCCTGGGATGTCATCTGCTCTGTCGAAAGCGAATACATGCGGCGCGCCAGGCCCGCCAACGCCCGCGAGATGGGAATTCCAGCAGCCCACCGCGAGGAAGGATTTCCTTGCTAGTAACATCACGCTCGTCGTGTGACAAGACTCCAGACGATGACAAGATGGGTGAAGCCACTGTCATTAAATGTTTGTAAAAAACTGATGGTCAGTTGAGCTCAAGCAAAAACAAGTCAAGTGTCCAATCCCGGGTTTGCCCAACCTCAAAAGCAATGGTTTCCGACTCATGAGGTCTTACCCCTGGATGGTCACGCCCAAACTGATTCAAGCAATCCACGAAGTCCCGAGGCAAGTGCAGCTCGGGGCAAGACTCAATGTGAGTTGCTACTGCAGAGAAGTATTGATCCACATCCTCGTGGGTGTGGGCCGTTTGAAGGAATCGCATTTCAATGCGATATATCTTCTTGAGTGCTGTCATCAGGCCACAAAAATGGAGGAGAACATTGTTCTTCGTCTCCTTCCCGCAGTTGTCCGATTGGACAATGAATTCTGCTTCCCTGACGTTGTACTTCCCTGCCAAGCGGTGTATCGCATGGGACAATAGGTCCACCACCCACGATGCGTCCTTCTTCAAGTGGGGGGCCACTGACAGCAATGACGCAATTGTGACCGTGAGTGATGATGGTCGACATGTCCAGGGCTGGCCGAGCGAAGGTCTGAAACTCCTTCGAGCATATTACCCTTGACCTTGGAAACTTGAATTTTGATTTGTCCATAGCGTCAGTTATCATCGTGAAGCTTCGCCGTCCACACGGCAGAAAAAGGAGTCGCGACGTGGCCCGTGATGTCCAGTAACAGACTCGATCAGCGTAAGTCCGCTTCAAGCGCCGGACATACTCCTGCGTCTGCCCTGCGCGTGCTCGTTCATTCGATATGCGCTTCAGCAGCATCTTGTGCTTCTTGCAAATTCCGCATGTTGAATGCTGTGATGGTGGCCTTATGCCCAGTCGATGAGCAAAGCTTTGACCCCACACCTCACAGCACTGAGTGACAGTGTTTGTGACAGGTGCAGAAATCACCCCCCCCCTCACCGCCCTTGGGCGAAGGAATGGCAAACTAGATTCGATCTGCAGGACCCGCAGCATCAACCAGGACTAATTAATTGCTGGTCCTCATGCCCATCCAAGTCGTCCTACTACCTCCTGCTCCTGCTCCTGGCAACGCGCATTACATCTTAGACTGCCACCCTGCTGCTCCTTGCCTCATTCATCCTCCTCCTCCTCATCCGGACAGTGAAGCTGCAACAAAGTCGAGTGCTCCTTGACGGCAGTTGGTTGCAAAATCGTGACGGACCCAAGCAGTGGCCTGAGTAGCAGTCGCAGTAATGGTAGTAGGTAGTAGTGGCAGTAGGTAGTAGGTAGTAGTGGTAGTAGGTTAGTAGTGGTAGGAGGTAGTAAGTAGGTAGCAGGCAGTAGTGGAAGTAGTAGCACCTGAACCCATGGATTTCATTTATTATACTGGTTCTGCAGTTTAGGGAAGTAACGTTGAAGAGAGTGCCTTCTCCCCGCACAAAGCTAATAAACAATTCCAGCTGTTTTTGCAACAAAGCTTCAAAAGTTACAGTACACGGAAATTGATATCTCCACGTCAGATCCTTCCGAATGTGACAGACTGGTGTCAAGGTTATTTCAAGGATTGTGTTCTTTAAAGCCATTTCACGATTGGCCCAGCATTATTCCATTGGATTGTTTCAATGTTACGTTGAAGGGTGTTGGAGGAGGTGTTTCGATTTTGTCATGCCAAGGTGATGTAGCCAGTAGCTCTCACGCTATTACCCTAAGAACTTGCTTGATTATTGATCTATTTTGTATTCCTGTATGTCCATACACAATAACTCCGCTCAGGTTCTTTCTATTATATTTTTTGTTAGTCTAACTGTCAACCAATCAGATTCAATGGAAACAAACATACAAGGCCATCTACAACTTGACCTTGAAATAAGTCATAAGGATGCTATTTTGACATCCAACAGCAAGCCACCTTCAGGAAAAGCTTCAAGGACAGCTTCTCCCGTGGATGCTTTTGTCGCAGAAGTCGCAAATAGTCCGTAAATGTGCCAGGTGGTAATAGCTTCAAGTCAACTTGGGGCTCATCCTTAATGCCTGATTTCGAAGGCAAGGGCACCAAAGCGAGAGCTCGCTGCTGCTTCTTGGGGACCTTCCCACGCATCCGTCGAAACTTCATGTCAGGAAGAATCGCGCCGTCCAAGCATTTCCGCTTCTGCCCAAGCTCAGGCATTGGTTCTGCCACTGTGTGCAGAATCTCTTCCAAAAACTCTGCAATAATTGATCTTTTTCTCACTGACTCTTTGTGCGACCCATCATCCCTTCGGGGTCGCATTCTCAAATCTTTTGGCGTCTTTTCATTGCGACTAACAGCTCTCTTCAGCTTGTCAAAACGACAAGCTCCCAGGCCAAGAAGTTTGCGAAACCCGTGATTGCATACTCGTTTGCCCAGAACTAAATTCATCTTCCGCTGCCTAGCGTCAGGCTCTGGCCTGGCTTGCAACATCTGCATAACCTGCCACGTTGATCTAGTCAGCAAGAAACCAAAGATTGAAATGAGAAGAGGAAATCAATTGAAAAAGAACGTGAACATGTATGGAACAGTTACATCACTGACTGACTGCACACACTATGTGGCCGATTCGTTGTTTCTTTTCAGCGTTTGCACAAAATCTGGCTGGCCTGCTCGTCCATTTCCTCTTTGTCAAGCTTCCGCAGCCACAAGTACAGCTTGCTGAGGTCATCTAACTGGTCTCCAAACTGTCTCAAGCATGAGTTAGAAGTTCGTTTTAGCTTCATAGCACACCTACACACAGATTGAACCACTCGGGCAAGCTTGGGTCGTACACACTGAAGGCTCAGCTGCCTTCCTGGTCCTGAAGTCCGAGGGGTCTTCAAACTTTTTGGGTCTTTCTCAAGCTTGCAGACTGCTTCCAACTTGACAAGGGGCTGCCCAGAGCAACCTTCATCATCTGACAAAGCATCAAGCGCACGGACCATGGAGCTAAAGTGCGAACACACAACTGGCAAGTTAGTGGCTACAATACATATGTTACGTGAATGGTCCTGTCAATGGTGAAGTCTGAAGGGGCCATCATTCCA